GCTGGGGTGGAATGTACTAATGTTCTACACATGGGAACGCTCACAGTTATTTGACATGTTTTGTTTTGGCGCTAACTACATAACTATGTTGTGTTCCCCACAGTGTTGATGATTGCAGTGCTTTTGTGTGTGAGTGTTCATTGGAAGTTTTTGAAAATGGGATTGGATGAATCAAGAGATGACAGACTCAGATCCTAGATCAGTCTGGATGGGCCCACTCCAGCTGACAGCACATTATTTATTCAGTACAAAATAAGCCCTGGAGCACTGTGCACTCTCACTTAACCACAGGACGCACTTCAAGCTGTGCTGCCATCGCTGCCTGGGCTCTGGGTTCTCCCCCAGTCACTCTCTGGGTTGTGTTCCGAATGAGTCTCAGCCTGTCTGCCCTCCCCTCTATGTCATGCTCTCTCTCTGTCGCTTTCTAAATCTTTCTCTCTCTCTATCTCTCTCTATCTGTGACAGGTTGTGTGTAACAGACAGGGACAGGTGGCCCACATTTCTCCATGCCATCAGTCTGCCATAAAGCTTTGTCAGTGTCAGTCCCCTGTAGCTCAGTTGGTAGAGCATGGTGCTTGCAACGCCAGGGTTGTGGGTTTGTTTCCCACGGGGGGCCAGTATGAAAATGTATGCACTCACTAACTGTAAGTCACTCTGGATAAGAGTGTCTGCTAAATGACAAAAATGTAAAATGTATGGGGAATCCACTGCACTGACACATAATTCACTATGCTGCTCAAGTCAATGGCATCAACTCAGTCAGTTGTGTAAAATCATTTTCACAGCCTAACAAAAATATAGAGAAGGGTTTACTTATATAAAAAAATACAATGATATTTGAGTGTACCCATATATGTACTGTCAAATATGCCGTGGTGTGAGGGGCTATGTCCATTCGAGCCATTCTATTTCTATGGGTATACCCTAGGTATTGCAAAACCTTTATTACCGCTCTCTGGATAGGGCACTTCTGAGAGGTTAAAAGCTGCCAGGTAGAGTTAGCAGTGGCTCTGGATGGCAAAGTTTGACATGTCTGACAGGTAGACAGGCAGGGGATAGAACATGCTGTCATTGGGGTCACACAGACACTACCTTCCGGTGACATACTGTATTCCCCCATGACAATACACTGACTCAAAGGGCATCCCAAGACCTCCCCAAGTGACTGACAGGTCTCTATAACATATCAGATTACAATAGTTACCCTCTACACACTAAATTTGAAAGTGTTACATTTAACACTGTCAGCGAGTACATATGGTCCCACACTACACAGAGTAAAAAGTACACTGATCAAAGTGTTACATTTCTAGTGTTGATTTAACACTGAGGAGTGCAAAAAGTTAACACTGCACTACACTGGCCGGTGTTGATCAAATTTAACACTAAGAGGTAATCAACACTTTGAGTGTTATAGTGACACTCACTAGTGTTGACCTAGGGTGACTCCTATTAGAGTAAAAATATGTTTACTCTATTCAGTGTTAATTTATTTACTCTTCCCCCATGTAAATGGAAATTATATTTTGTAAAAGCACTTGGATAAACTTAAGCAAAGCTGTTTCAACATTCAAATATGTTTATTATGACCAAACCATAAGTCTCAGCCCTGGTTTAAACTGTTATCAAGTGAGAGTAGGGGACAATGTGGTCAAAAAAATCCCTTGCTCCATATGACATGAGCAAATCAAAAGGTTTGTGGTACATGATGTCATTTACATGAAATACCTTGCATGGTGGACTTCGCTTCAAAACAACTTTAAATGCATACAAATGATTATCAAAACATAAGGTTTCAAGAGCTGACCCAACCCAAAAAACATTTATCTTTCAGAACAATAGCCTTCATTTTGTAAAATACTGGCATTTCAATGACTACTTCACCACATTTGACCAAATCAAGACGATATTCTGTACCATGGTGCTTTACCCATTTAACTGACAAAACATTTGTGTGCACTGAGACATTCAACTTGGCAGCAATCTCATGGCCTTCTTTCAGGTCATTGAGCCTTGACATCTTTCCTGGACCTATAGCTAGTGTATCCTGGCTGAACGTTTCCCAATTATATGCCATGTAATTTAGGTGTTTCTTGGCAAAGGTCATAGTGACATTCTTAAAACTCTTCAGTTGTTTTTTAAATAAATTATGTTTTGCATCGTAGCGCATACACGAGTGAAGAATGGGCCCAATATTCCTTATACAACGAGGATAATGTATCATGAAGTGGTGTTTCGGTAACAGATTTCTATCAGGAAACAAATACTTGAAAAGCCTATGATGTTCAGCAATTAAGTGCTTCAGACAGATAGTCATGCCCTCTGTTAGTATAGGAGAAAACACAATATTGACAATTTGTAGTAGTAACAGAAGCAGCTGCCAGTATTTATCATCTTTCTGTACCAGATCACCAAATATCAATGGCAAATTATGGAGAAGACACCAAGACTGAATAGCATTTAGAACCAAATCATTGCTCCCATCATCCAATTTGACTGCAGGTGGACGATTCCTCATCTCTGTGTAGCCATAGTTAAATGAATGAACCCTACCATACACATCTTTAGCAGTCACAAAGTTGGCTTGTATATACTGTAACACAAGTTTTACCTCAAATTGTGCAACTTCTTCTAAAATGTAATGAATTATATCAACATAAAAATTGTCTATAGTATTGAAGTACTGCAGAGAGTTCAATAAGCAAGCATGCTTCACACCGTACACATGAGGTAGTGTTGGGTTTGACTGAATAGTTTGACAATGGTCTGAGTGCATGTGTTTTGTTCGTAAAGTCACTCTTGGGTCATCCTCAGAGAACACAGTTTGAACATCCACTTCCTCAGTGAGGCAAAAACGGCAACAATAACGAGCACTAAATGATTCCACAAAACCAAACAAAACCAAGATTAAATCCAGTTACTTGGACAATACTGCCATGTATACGACCACTGAAGACGGGAACTTCAATACCCTCAGTCTCAAGCACTTTCAAATCACTTACTATTGGCTCAAGAATGGAATCAAATCCATAAGTTTTAAGGTCCTGGGTATGGAAGAGTGCACATAAGTGAATCTTTACCAAAATTGTATTAACCTTTGGGGGAACATTTCTCAAAGTAAAGTATATACTTCCCAACTTATGAATACCCTTTTTTGATCACAATGGATTAGCAGTCTCAAAGTCGTCATAAAAGAGTTGAATTTGCAATGCATTTTTCTCTTTAGAAAAGAGAGGATGTCTCTTCATATCTTCCAAATCAAAGTAAACTCCATCTTTAAAATTGTGCCCTGAGTTAAACATGCCACTTGTGTTTGGGTTCTTCAAATTTGACTGCAATGTCTCGAGAATTGGAACGTAAGAAAATTTATCAGTTATGACTATTTGATCATAAGTTCCAGTAGTTTTGTTTCTTCTATTTTCAAATCTAACACCAAGGACTTTCTCAACTGGTTGAACTGTTCCCCATTTTTGTATGAAATAAGCACTTCGTTTTGATACCGAATTCAACAATGTGAAAGGATTTTCAATATCCTGAAAAGGACAGTTTCTGTGTCTTTTGAAGATATACATGTAAGAGCGGTCGCTTTAGCTTGACCCTGTATCTCTTGAACTGCTTCTTCCATGGAAGATACAAAACTATTTACAGTCGTCTGACCTACACCTGCAGCCTGCAGTTGTGCAATAGCAGATGCACACATATCAAGTGTGTTCTTGTTAGATATTGGTACAACATGGTTACAACTAGAATTTGAAGGAAAATCAGCATTACTTGGCTGATTATCAATGGCTGTATTAGCATCCAAGTTAGCGTTTAACAAAATTTGACAGTCTCCGGAATGTGCCCTGTTTCCTAAAGCCTGAAAATGTACCAAATACACGACAACAATCTGATTGACCACATTTTAGTCTAAGAGTTCTACCAGGGCACATTCCATGCATCAACTTGAGATGCCTCACGAGCAAGTTGGTACTTCCATGACTAGCATGGCAAACAAAACATATCATCATAACGTAATCGACATTAGTGCAGGAGTCTAGCTCTGAGCTCAGCAACCCTTGGAGTCCCCTTAACCTTCCCAATGTCTATGTTGTACACAGTTGTCTGTATGAAGGTGTACATGTTACGCAGCATTGTATTGTCAGCAGTACCAAAAACAGAGTCTTGAAAAGCTCATCGAAGGCACCAAGAGCACTCGTTGACTTGCACGGCAAGGCTCACTTGTCCAGGATGATGAAGTAAGCATGGATGCTGCTCTTCCTGGTCCCGACTGCAAGAAGATATGGTTGGCGGCTCTGGTCAATCGCATCAAGGTGCTCCTGGATACTGGTTCCTGCCTGAAGACGACAAAAAGGAACACCATCATTAGTTCATCATAACGGCTGCAGCACTGTCCAAGAATAAGAATGCCAATACAAACCTTTTGGAATATCACAAGATGCTGTTCAGCTTGTGATGCAGACATCTTGCCTGGTCTTTTGCAGCGTTATGATGAAGGAGGAATCAAATGGAGCAGGAGAAGGATTGAGGAAAGGTCACCTTCCCATCCTAAACAAAGAAGAGATCCTGATTAAAATAGTAAATTCCATCATCAGTGACATTAACATTTCAGAGTTATTTGAAATATAAATGATAAATTATGCATTAATTAGCATTCGTGTCAGCTCCCTCATGAACTGCAGATTCTGCTATCTGGATCAGCTCCTGAAGTTCAGCTCCCTGAGTGGACTTGCTTAGGGTCTTGCTTAGCATGATGATATTTTGCTTGAATGTAGTTGGCCACCTCTCCAAAAACTTGGCTGATGTTCCCTCTCTAAACAGCAGCACAAAATCCTGTTCAATATGAAACAAATAAGACAAAGAACAAAACATTAGTTTTGTGCAAGTCAATTTCTTTCTCACAAAACATTCCACTTTAACCTCCAAAACAGAGTTTGAGTAAATCACCAGCATACACAATAATTGAACTACTATTATGGAAGTGTTGTTTTTGTTTACATTTACTGGCCAACCTGAATTGGCATCTAGAGATTAAACGCAATTTATACAACTTAAAACTGTTCTTTAAAAAAAGTCTTACCAAGCCCTTCACATCCAGAAAGCGTGGAAATTCAAGTTAGGATGGTGGAGGATTTACTCGGGTCGTGGGTCATCTTCTTCCTGTACTCAAAGGTCAATTTCATCTTCTGTTTGACTGTTTCTTCATCAGAAGAATGCTTCATATGAGAAATGGCCTCTCTGCACTGGTCTTCACTCAGAGTAATCAAAGTGGATGGACTGGACTCCCTCTCAGCAGTTGGCCCTCCAGAGTATAGTTGAGTGGGCCGTTTCTCAGATGAAGCCAAATTCCTCTGAACGGTTTTTATTCTATACGAGAGGTACCCTTCTCCACTATTAGGGTCGTAATAATGTTCCTTATGAAAATGAACATGGTTACTAATCTTGAAAGAAAAACAAATAACCAAGTCCCATTTGCTCAGATACCATACCAGACAAATTAAACGCAGATACCCTTTATCAGTTGTAATGTATACTTACTAGGGGTGTAACGATTCGTTTTAACAACGATTCGATTTGTATCACGATTCGTGGTTGTCGATACGATTCAAGGACGATATTGGTTCATTTAGAACGATACGATCCGAAACGATTCAGTGACTTGAAATCGATTCAGTAACCTTTTAGCCAAAAATTCAACCAGTGTGACTGAAATAAATACCTGGATACTGGACAGTGCAGGTGAAGTTTCCTAGATTCCTGTTTCTTGTAAGGACCTTAATGGTGGCTTGATAATTTCTCGCTCGTCGGCTTCTCCTCTGTCGTCCGCCATGCTATATTTTGTTGTCTTTGCGCCTTTGCGCTGCTGCTGGCGCGGGGCGATGACGTCACGGATAGGCAGACTGAATCGAGTAATGTTTAAAGCCTTTATCATTAAAAGTGCTAAGAAAAAACATCCATATAAAGTCTGACGTGCTTAAATCCAATGGGTTATTTCCTAGTATCGATACAATCGATTTATTACATTTTAAAACGATGTTAGATTGATATATGTTGTCCAAAAGGCCAACTCGCCGAGCACAGATCGATGTAGTTGGATCATAGGAATATAAATCGATACATCGATGTAGTAGATGGATCGTTACACCCCTAATACTTACATATCCATTTGCGGTGTAGGGATCCTTCAGGTATGTGAACAAGGAGACGATGCCTTGTGCAAACGTTTCTCTCACACTGCGCAGTGGTGATGTCCTGACAAGAATACAGTGGCTTGCAAAAGTATTCACCCCCCTTGGCATTTTTCCTATTTTGTTGCCTTACAACCTGGAATTAAAATTGATTTTTGGGGGGTTTGTATCATTTGATTTACACAACATGCCTACCACTTTGAAGATGCAAAATATTGTTTAAACAAACAAAAAACAGAAAACTTGAGCGTGCATAACTATTCACCCCCCCAAAGTCAATACTTTGTAGAGCCACCTTTTGCAGCAATTACAGCTGCAAGTCTCTTGGGGTATGTCTCTATAAACTTGGCACATCTAGCCACTGAGATTTTTGCCCATTCTTCAAGGCAAAACTGCTCCAGCTCCTTCAAGTTGGATGGGTTCTGCTGGTGTACAGCAATCTTTAAGTCATACCACAGATTCTCAATTGGATTGAGGTCTGGGCTTTGACTAGGCCATTCCAAGACATTTAAATGTTTCCCCTTAAACCACTCGAGTGTTGGTTTAGCAGTATGCTTAGGGTCATTGTCCTGCTGGAATGTGAACCTTCGTCCCAGTCTCAAATCTCTGGAAGACTGAAACAGGTTTCCCTAAAGAATTTCCCTGTATTTAGCACCATCCATCATTCCTTCAATTCTGACCAGTTTCCCAGTCCCTGCCGATGAAAATGATCACCACAGCATGATGCTGCTACCACCATGCTTCGCTGTGGGGATGGTGTTCTCGGGGTGATGAGAGGTGTTGGGTTTGCGCCAGACATAGCGTTTTCCTTGATGGCCAAAAAGCTCAATTTTAGTCTCCCACATGCCTTTTGGCGAACACCAAACGTGTTTGCTTATTTTTTTCTTTAGGCAAAAAATACTTTTTCTGGCCACTCTTCCGTAAAGCCCAGCTTTGTGGAGTGTATGGCTTAAAGTGGTCCTATGGACAGATACTCCAATCTCCGCTGTGGAGCTTTGCAGCTCCTTCAGGGTTATCTTTGGTGTCTTTGTTGCCTCTCTGATTAATGCCCTCCTTGCCTGCTCCGTGAGTTTTGGTGGGCGGCCCTCTCTTGGCAGGTTTGTTGTGGTTCCATATTCTTTCCATTTTTGTTATAATGGATTTAATGGTGCTCTGTGGGATGTTCAAAGTTTCGGATATTTTTGTATAACCCAACCCTGATCTGTACTTACATTTAAGTCATTTATATCCAGAGCGACTTACAGTTAGTGAGTGCATACATTTTTCATACTGGCCCCCCGTGGGAATCGAACCCACAACCCTGGCGTTGCAAACGCCATGCTCTACATCCCTGCCGGCCATTCTCTCCCCTACCCTGGACGATGCTGGGCCAATTGTGCGCCGCCCCATGGGTCTCCCGGTCACGGCCTGCTACGACAGAGCCTGGATTCGAACCAGGATCTCTAGTGGCACAGCTAGCACTGCGATGCAGTGCCTTAGACCACTGCGCCACTCAGGAGACTGATACTTCTCTACAACTTTGTCCCTGACCTGTTTGGAGAGCTCTTTGGTCTTCATGGTGCCGCTTGCTTGGTGGTGCCCCTTGCTTAGTGGTGTTGCAGCCTTTCAGAACAGGTGTATATATACTGAGATAATGTGACAGATCATGTGACACTTAGATTGCACACAGGTGGACTTTATTTAACTAATTATGTGACTTCTGAAGGTAATTGGTTGCACCAGATCTTACTTAGGGGTTTCATAGCAAAGGGGGTGAGTACATATGCACGCACCACTTTTCCGTTATTTATTCCAATTTGGACTATTTTGTGTATGTCCTTACATGAAATCCAAATAAAAATCCATTTAAATTTCAGGTTGTAATGCAACAAAATAGGAAAAACGCCAAGGGGGATGAATACTTTTGCAAGGCACTGTATAATGTTATGTTTAGGCGGCACTCAGAATCTCCACAAGCAGCATTGGTCCCCAGTCAGCTAAATATTTGTATTTATATTTAATAAGGATCGGACCTTTTTTTTTTTTTTTATGTTCCCCTAAAATGACATTCTCAAATCTAACTGCCTGTAGCTCAGGACCTGAAGCAAGGATATGCATATTCTTCATACCATTTGAAAGGAAACACTTTGAAGTTTGTGGAAATGTGAAATTAATGTAGGAGAATCACATTAGATCTGGTAAAAGATAATACAAACAAAAAAACATGCGTTTTCTATTAATTTTTTTGTTCCATCATTTTTTAAATGCAAGAGAAAGGCCACAATATAATATTGCAGTTTAGGCGCAATTTTGATTTAGCAGTGTGTGTGCAAAGTTTCAGATTGATCCAGTGAAGCTATTTTGTATCAAGTCTGCCCAAATGTGCCGAATTGGTCAATTTATACATTTTCACGTACATAACTATAGAGAACATACAAACATGATATGGTAATACAAAATGTAAGTTTACACACTCCCAGGAATGTCATACATGATGGATCATTAGCTTATACACTAACTTTCTAGATGGCCGGGCGGGTGGGTGTGGAGCCAGAGACAGCAGGGGTTCAAACTGTAGAACACAGTTCCTACATTTGAATATAAAAATGGATTTTATTAAACAAGACTATGCTACATTTTATCTCTAGGACCCTTAGGATGACAAATCAGAGCAAGAATACTGAATGTAAGTACATTATTTACCTTCAGAGGTGAATGTATCAAACCAGTTGCCATGATACGTTTTTTGTTGTTGTGCACTCTCCTCAAACGATAGCGTGGTATTTTTTCACTGTAATAGCTACTGTAAATTGGACACCGATCCCGTGGAGGTTAACCTTTATTTAACTAGGCAAGTCAGTTAAAAACACATTCTTATTTACAATGACGGCCTACCCCGGCCAAACCCTAAACCGGACGACGCTGGGCCAATTGTGCCCTATGGACTCTCAATCACGGCCGGTTATGATACAGCCTGGAATCGAGCCAGGGTCTGTAGTGACACCTCTAGCATTGAGATGCAGTGCCTTAGAACGCTGCGCCACTCGGGAGCCCAATATCAGGAGTGATTTTTGAAGCAGTATCATGCCAATTGAGTTTGATACAAGATAAATCTTCTACAAACAGCAGTGGATGGTCAGAAGTAGCCTAACCAATTATGTGACTGAGATACTGATACAGAAGTCATTTTTAACATTCAGCAGATATGGGAGCAGCTCAACGATTTTCATTATGAATCTTTCCTTTAACTTACCCGTGAGTCTCTGTCATCGCCGAAACAAGAATGTTGACGATCTTTCGTCTGGTGCAGTCAGTCAGGCTTTTCGTTTTGGAGTATTCCTTGATGACAACCTCTCCACCAGGCTTTTTCTTCAGTATGCTCTCTATTAGCTGTAAAAATAAAAAAAACAGCAGTGAAAAATCCATTTGATGGCAAGTGAATTGAAGAATGAATTACAAACGTAATTTTTTTTGCTTCTTCATCAGATCTTTTACGCTTTCGTGAGGGGCTTCCATCCTCGCTCAAAATGATTGTATCATCCAAACATGGTCTGAACCACACATCACAGGACTGGTAGAGACAGGACTCATCAGGGAAGATTCTGAAATACACAAAGATGACAAGTGTCAGGTCAATGATCTTGACAGATTTTTGTTCACCACTGAATTTCACCCTGATCAGCATGACTAGGTCTGAAAGCAGTTAATGGTACGAGATAAGGCCAAAATGGATGAAAAAGCAAAACATTTGTATTTCAATCATGACACATCCTTTACTTAGCAATGCTAATTTCAAAGTATATTATGAAAATATTGGATCATGACCACAACTTGTCTGATATTACTTTCAGCAGGTCCCAAACTACAGCAAACAGACTATTCAACTCACATTCACTGTCCCGAAATATGCACACGGCCTAATTAGTCCAGTAAAATACACTCTCCCAGCTAGTCACTATATTATGTTGTCATGTTCTAGGAGCATTCTTACAAGACCGCCAAAATGAACTGGTGATAAAGCGAGTGGGAAACGCAGTTAGCTAGACTAGCTAGCTGCCGATGCAATGGCCACAATATTTATCTAAAAGCATCACCCACAAGTCTCAAATTCAGTTATAATTTGGCTAAATAAACAACTCACCTTAATCAGATTAGTCCTCAATATATAGTAAGCAGCTGAAATAAAGAGAACAAACTAGCATGAGGCTAAAAAAGCTTGGTGCTGAAATGAGACACGCGCCCATGGAACCACCACGTGGAGCAGACTAACTGCACAGGACAGGGGCGAGCTAGTTAGCTAGCATACTAGCTATCTAGCAAAGATGTGCAAAAAGTGAAACGCAAGTAACTCTAACATTAGCTGCACACACGCAATCAAAACTGTTAGACTTGTTATGTTACACTGCAGTCTGACAACCAAGTATCAAGTATTTAAATTAAAATAGCTAAATAATATCAGTGAAATAATTATTTAAAACTCACCTTTGCGTGGAACAAATTAGGATTTTGTTGATCCAACAATGGCGTCGAGAAAATAGAAAATTTTAACGCAGAAACTGAATTTATGGGCGGGGTTGTGATATGTTTACACTTACTGAGTAAAAGTCTACACTAATAGAGTAAAATGTTATACCTTAGCAATTAACACCAATTATCAGCACTGACGCTAGGGGTCATTTGGCACTGCCAGTTGCTAAAACAACTCTATGGGAGTCGATCACTTTTGACATTGTGAATTTAACACTGGTGATTTGACTGTGTAGCTCTAGATATAGAATCCCTATTAGATCTATATTAGAATCCACTATTATATTCTATGCCTATGGACTTGTCACACCCTGGCTCTGGGACTCTATATGTTGAGCATTTGACCATGCTTGTCACTTATGAACATTTTTGAACATCTTGGCATGGTTCTGTTATAATCTCCACCCGGCACAGCCAGAAGAGGACTGGCCACCCCTCATAGCCTGGTTCCTCTCTAGGTTTCTTCCTAGGTTTTGCCTTTCTAGGGAGTTTTTCCTAGCCACCGTGCTTCTACACCTGCATTACTAGCTGTTTGGGGTTTTAGGCTGGGTTTCTGTACAGCACTTCGAGATATTAGCTGATGTAAGAAGGGCTATATAAAATAAAATTGATTGATTGATTGATTGAGCCAGGGTGTGTTCATTCTATGTGTTTATTTCTATGTTGGTATTCTGTTGGGTTTATTTCTATGTTGGCTAGAGTGACTCCCAATCAGAGGCAACGAGTGTCAGCTGTCGTTGGTTGTCTCTGATTGGGAGCCATATTTAAACTGTCGGTTTTCCCTTTGTGTTGGTGGGTTCTTGTTCCGTGTTCGGTCATTGTTACCGTGGACTTCACGAGTCGTTTCTTGTTTTGTTTATTGTTTCTATTATCACTAAAGATAATAAAGTTAACCATGTTCGTTCATCACGCTGCGCATTGGTCTCTCCCTGACGATCGTGACAGAAGAACCCACCATGCAACGACCAAGCAGCGTGTCCAGGGGCAGCTCTTGGGCTGGACATGGGAGGAAGCGCCGGGAGAAGAGACGGTGGAGGCGCGCCGTAGAGAGGAGCAGCGGCGCCAAACGGGTCAACGTCGGACAGGCGAGAGGCAACCCCAGAACATTTTTAGGGGGGGGCACACGGCATGGACGACGGGGCTGACGGAGGCAGAAAAGGGGCGGATTCAGAAGGCCACCAGGTTACGGATACACCGCCCTGTACGTCCTGTGCGGATGCCTCACACAGAGTGTGTGAGGGTAGGCATTCAGCCAGGACGGGTTGTGGCCGCTCTTCACTCCAGGTCTCCTATCCGTCTCCACAGCCCGGTTCGGCCTGTCCCTGCTCCACGCACCAAGCCTACGGTGTGCGTCGCCAGCCCAGTCCGGCCAGTCCCTGCTCCACGCACCAAGTATACGGTGCGCGTCGCCAGCCCGGCCCGGCCTGTTCCTGCCACTCGCACCAAGTATACGGTGCGCGTCGCCAGCCCGGCCCGGCCTGTTCCTGCCACTCGCACCAAGTATACGGTGCGCGTCGCCAGCCCGGCCCGGCCTGTTCCTGCTCCACGCACCAAGCCTACGGTGTGCGTCGACAGCCCAGCCCGGCCTGTCCCTGCTCCACGCACCAAGCCTACGGTGTGCGTCGCCAGCCCGGCCCGGCCTGTTCCTGCTCCACGCACCAAGCCTACGGTGTACGTCGACAGCCCAGCCCGGCCTGTCCCTGCTCCACGCACCAAGCCTACGGTGTGCGTCGCCAGCCCAGTCCGGCCTGTCCCTGCTCCACGCACCAAGTCTACGGTGCGCGTCGCCAGCCCGGCCCGGCCTGTTCCTGCCACTCGCACCAAGTATATGGTGCGCGTCGCCAGCCCGGCCCGGCCTGTTCCTGCTCCACGCACCAAGCCTACGGTGTGCGTCGACAGCCCAGCCCGGCCTGTCCCTGCTCCACGCACCAAGCCTACGGTGTGCGTCGCCAGCCCGGCCCGGCCTGTTCCTGCTCCACGCACCAAGCCTACGGTGTGCGTCGACAGCCCAGCCCGGCCTGTCCCTGCTCCACGCACCAAGCCTACGGTGTGCGTCGACAGCCCTGCCCGGCCTGTCCCTGCTCCACGCACCAAGCCTACGGTGTGCGTCGCCAGCCCGGCCCGGCCTGTTCCTGCTCCACGCACCAAGCCTACGGTGTGCGTCGCCAGCCCGGCCCGGCCTGTTCCTGCCACTCGCACCAAGTATACGGTGCGCGTCGCCAGCCCGGCCCGGCCTGTTCCTGCTCCACGCACCAAGCCTACGGTGTGCGTCGACAGCCCAGCCCGGCCTGTCCCTGCTCCACGCACCAAGCCTACGGTGTGCGTCGCCAGCCCGGCCCGGCCTGTTCCTGCTCCACGCACCAAGCCTACGGTGTGCGTCGACAGCCCAGCCCGGCCTGTCCCTGCTCCACGCACCAAGCCTACGGTGTGCGTCGCCAGCCCAGTCCGGCCTGTCCCTGCTCCACGCACCAAGTCTACGGTGCGCGTCGCCAGCCCGGCCCGGCCTGTTCCTGCCACTCGCACCAAGTATACGGTGCGCGTCGCCAGCCCGGCCCGGCCTGTTCCTGCCACTCGCACCAAGTCTACGGTGCGCGTCGCCAGCCCGGCCCGGCCTGTTCCTGCCACTCGCACTAAGCCAGGGGTGCGAGACGTCAGCCTGGTAAGGCCCGTTCCTCCTCCACGCACCAAGCCAGGGGTGCGAGTCGTCAGCCTGGTAAGGCCCGTCCCTCCTCCACGCACCAAGCCAGGGGTGCGAGTCGTCAGCCTGGTAAGGCCCGTTCCTCCTCCACGCACCAGGCCAGGGGTGCGCGTCGTCAGTCCAGCACAACCCGTGCCTGGGCCACCGGTGCCTGGGAAGGTACCGGTCAACTGCTCCACTATGGAGCTGAAGCTAACCGCTCCTGCTACGTCCAGTTCAGCTCCAGCCGGCGGGGCCAGACTGGACCAGGGGCGCTATGGGGGGTTTATTGGAGGGTGGTGGTCAAGGCCGGAGCCAGAACCGCCGCCGAGGAGGTATGCCCGCCCAGCCCTCCCCTGTTTTGTTCAAGTTGAGGCGCGGTCGCAGTCCGCGCCTTTAGGGGGGGGGGGGGTACTGTCACACCCTGGCTCTGGGACTCTATATGTTGAGCCAGGGTGTGTTCATTCTATGTGTTTATTTCTATGTTGGTATTCTGTTGGGTTTATTTCTATGTTGGCTAGAGTGACTCCCAATCAGAGGCAACGAGTGTCAGCTGTCGTTGGTTGTCTCTGATTGGGAGCCATATTTAAACTGTCGGTTTTCCCTTTGTGTTGGTGGGTTCTTGTTCCGTGTTCGGTCATTGTTACCGTGGACTTCACGAGTCGTTTCTTGTTTTGTTTATTGTTTCTATAATCACTAAAGATAATAAAGTTAACCATGTTCGTTCATCACGCTGCGCATTGGTCTCTCCCTGACGATCGTGACAGGACTACCCACTTACCAGCCATACAGAGCTTATATTTGTACAGAGTCATCCATATTTCTTACTACACATTATATCATTAGTCTTAGTGCATTTTTTCAGGACCACAATAGTTAAACCAGACCATTTCATATTTCCTAAACATCACTCAGCTTCCCCCTTATCTCAAGAGCCTGGTCCCTATAAACATTTAGAAAACTAGATCAAGCAGCCAGGCATGCATCGAGAGCCTGTGTTCAGCCTGTGGGAGAGGCACACACAGTGCACAGCACTCTGGCTATAGGGCATGTTACTTAGCCATGG